TAAATAAGGTTTTGTCACCTTCTGGGGGGAAACCTGTTTAGGAGGAAGTGGCTCCAGACATTTCGGCTTCATGACAACAGGAAGCTAAAAGAATATTCATCCATCAAAAGGGGTATGTTTGATCTCTCATAAAAGCTAAAATATTAGTTGCAGAGAGATGAACATACTCCCTTCTGTTTGGGCACTCTGTAGGCTACATCGACATATAAAAACCGTATTTGTGGTTTAGGTAGAAGGCCAGGAAAATGCAGGAAATTGTTAGGTGGCGCTGGAGTGCGACAGTCGAATGGTGTTTGGTACTGTCACGATCGGGCCGATGCGCTGGTGTCGGAAATCCAACCCCCGACCTGGTGTTTCAAGCCGGTCTTAGTCCGATTGAACTTGGGCAGGTCAGCACCCAGAACATCCTGTGGGCAGGTACAGGGGCAGCCCCCATGGTCAATTGGCTGAGGACTAATGTCCCGCCTACGTCCATATCCCCATAAATGGAGTACCCAGGCATTGGGATGTTGTGATTCGTATGGAGCTGGTTGATCGACCAACGGATTGCTGATTCTCCCTGACTTGCTCCAGTCGCAGGGTAAATTCTGGTTAAGTTTTACTTCTGTCTTTTATTCCTTTTTATTTTATAGTGAAGTCATTTGTGTGTCTTCTTGTATTTTTTATAACTTTTTATATTTTGTACATATTTTATGCTCCGCCCACTTTCAGGAAATTAAACCTTAAAATTAATAAGTGACTTCTGTGTATTTAAGCTCGGGCTCATATCTCCGGAGAGATTAGATTGTATCGTATTTTAGTGCCTTTAAACGCTTGGTCAAGCTCATTGCCAATCTGTATGCAATTGCACTGTGTGTGGGCAGATTGCATGCAGATTGTAAAAGTTTACAGATCGGCCAGACGGAGATCTGTGTGTGTGGGGTGTCCCAGCAGACCGTTCTGCGGCTAAACTGTTGGGTGGTGGTTAAACTGTTGGGTGGTGGTAGGCTACCTTTTGTGGTGTGTCTGGTGCGGGGGGGGGTGGACAGTGGACAGTGGAAGGGTGATTAACACCGGGGTTCAAGCTGTAGGTAGCTGGAGGGACTCTAGAAGGGTGTGATTACTAAGCTGGTCCTCAACTCTAATCAGTGCACCAGATTGTATATACGATTTGTATCTGCCAGTGTGTGGTCGACCAGCTGGATTGAAATGGAGTCTCCATCTGGTGGTGGCCAAAAGGTAGTGCAGGCTGTGGAAGTGCGTCACGGCTGATCTTATATACGGTTTAATATATTCAAAGTTAAGCCCCCTTTATTCCTCTTACCCCAAGTCATGGCCGCACGTGCGCGCCACGGTTAGCTAGTCGCTGTGAGCGTGGCGTGACAGATTTGGTCGTGACACCCCCCCAAATGTCAGGAGACTACAAATCCCCCCCCCAAATGACCCCTTTTTGGAAAGTGGACACTCTGAGGAATGCAGTCAGAGGCATGGAAAGTTTTTGTTTGTCACAATTAGAGATGAGCGAATCGAACTTGGCGAAGTGGAAATTCGTTTCGAATATTAGGAAAAATTCGATTCGCACCGAATCCGAAAATTAGCAAACTTCGGATGCACGAATCGTATTTTTCCCGATCGGCCGATTTTCATCCCTTCTAAAGCCGGCAAAAAGTGTCCCTGCAGAGAGCTCCGCTATTTCTGACAGTTCTCTGACAGTTCCTTCACATTTACAGCGGTTGAAACATTGTATCTATTTGTTTCCATTTAGGATACAGATGTTTTTATTCAGAAACAAATAGATACAATGTTTCAACCGCTGTAAATGTGAAGGAACTGTCAGAGAACTGTCAGAAATAGCGGAGCTCTCTGCAGATACACTTTTTGCTGTACTGGAATTCTTCTTATTTTCATCCTACTTCTTCTTCTTCTTCTTCTTCTTCTTCTTCTCTTCTTCTTCTTCTCATCCTCATCCTCATCTTCTTCTTCTTCTTCTTCATCCTCATCCTCTTCTTCTTCTTCTTCTTCATCCTCATCCTCTTCTTCTTCTTCTTCTTCTTCTTCATCCTCATCTTCTCTTCTTCTTCTTCTTTCTTCTTCTTCTTCTTCTTCTTCTTCTTCTTCTTCATCATCATCTTCTTCTTCTTCATCCTCATCATTCTTCTTCTTCTTCTTCTTCTTCTTCTTCATCCTCATCTTCTTCTTCTTCATCCTCATCTTCTTCTTCTTCTTCACCCTCATCTTCTTCTTCTTCATCATCCTCATCCTCTTATTCTTCTTCCTCATCTTCTTCTTCTGCATCATCTTCTTCATCTTCTTCTTCTTCATCATCTTCTTCTTCTTCTTCTTCTCTTCATCTTCTTCATCTTCTTCTTCATCTTCTTTCTTCTTCTTCTTCTTCTCTTCTTCATCATCATCTTCTTCTTCATCATCTTCTTCTTCATCATCTTCTTCTCATCATCTTCTTCATCATCTTCTTCTTCTTCATCTTCTTCTTCTTCATCCTCATCTTCTTCTTCTTCTTCATCCTCATCCTCTTCTTCTTCTTCTTCTTCCTCATCCTCTTCTTCTTCTTTCTTCTTCTCTTCTTCTTCATCTTCTTCTTCATCTTCTTCATCTTCTTCTTCATCTTCTTCCTTTTCTTCTTCCTCTTCTTCTTCATCCTCATCTTCTTCTTCTTCTTCATCCTCATCTTCTTCTTCTTCTTCTTCTTCTTCATCCTCATCTTCTTCTTCTTCTTCATCCTCATCTTCTTCTTCTTCTTCATCCTCACCTTCTTCTGCTTCTTCATCCTCATCTTCTTCTTCTTCTTCTTCTTCTTCTTCTTCATCCTCATCTTCTTCTTCTTCATCTTCTTCTTCTTCTTCTTCATTTCTTCTTCTTCTTCTTCTTCTTCTTCTTCTTCTTCATCATCTTCTTCTTCATCATCTTCTTCTTCATCTTCTTCATCATCTTCTTCTTCATCATCTTCTTCTTCATCTTCTTCTTCTTCATCTTCTTCTTCATCTTCTTCTTCATCTTCATCTTCTTCTTCTTCTTCTTCTTCTTCTTCTTCTTCTTCTTCTTCTTCTTCATCTTCTTCATCTTCTTCTCATCTTCTTCTTCTTCATCTTCTTCTTCATCTTCTTCGTCGTGCCCCGTGACTGCCCAAATGAGTGAAGTGTGCGGTGATTCTAAGATCGACGGCACTCATCTGCATGTCATACTGACTGACAGTATTATTTCTCTTCCCCAGCAGACTCCAAGGGCATTTAAATTAAAGGTACAGTGTTCTGCACTAATATAAAGGCTCTCTGAAGCCTAGAAACCCTTTTAATAGGTTAAATTTGCAGCGAATAAATTCGCATTGAATCGAATTTCTCCCGCAAATTTGGCGAATCAGCCGAATCGAATTTTTGAATAATTCGCTCATCTCTAGTCATAATGTTTGGAAAAATAAAGAAATTAAAGAAAGCGAATTCCCTTTTTGGTGAATAGATATTCCTGGGGATTTAGACTGAGGTATGGTGAGTTTATGTCACACTTTTGTGGAAAATGAAAAAAATGTAATCAAATGTTTTTTTTCACAGTTTTTTTTACACACCAGAGCAGTACAACGTCATCCTATAACTGGTGTGCTGGAGATCAAAGTCGCTGACTGGTAGACAGGATGTAAAATACATTTTATATATATATATTTTTTTTTTATTATTTAATAATAACACACTGTAACCAGAGCAATAACCTGTTACCATAGTAACATTATGACATTGTAATACTCTAGGGAAGTGATTAGGATTTTTGTTACACACTATGATTGCTTATAGCACTGACCCCAATGTAAGGGACATTCTTCCCACTGACCCCAATGTAAGGGACATTCTTCCCACTGACCCCCAATGTAAGGGACATTCTACCCACTGACCCCCCAATGTAAGGGACATTCTACCCACTGACCCAATGTAAGGGACATTCTTCCCACTGAACCCCAATGTAAGGGACATTCTTCCCACTGACCCCCCAATGTAAGGGACATTCTTCCCACTGACCCCCAATGTAAGGGACATTCTACCCACTGACCCCCCAATGTAAGGGACATTCTACCCACTGACCCCCAATGTAAGGGGACATTCTTCCCACTGAACCCCAATGTAAGGGACATTCTTCCCACTGACCCCCAATGTAAGGGACATTCTTCCCCACTGACCCCCAATGTAAGGGACATTCTCCCCACTGACCCCCCCAATGTAAGGGACGTTCTTCCCACTGACCCCCAATGTAAGGGACATTCTTCCCACTGACCCCCAATGTAAGGGACATTCTTCCCACTGACCCCCAAATGTAAGGGACATTCTCCCCACTGATCACCAATGTAAGGGACGTTCTTCCCACTGACCCCAATGTAAGGGACATTCTTCCCACTGACCACCAATGTGAGGGACATTCTTCCCACTGACCACCAATGTAAGGGACATTCTACCCACTGACCCCCAATGTAAGGGACATTCTTCCCACTGACCCCCAATGTAAGGGACATTCTTCCCACTGACCCCAATGTAAGGGACATTCTTCCCACTGACCCCCAATGTAAGGGACATTCTTCCCACTGACCCCCAATGTAAGGAGCATTCTTCCCACTGACCCCCAATGTAAGGGACATTCTTCCCACTGACCCCCAATGTAAGGGACATTCTTCCCACTGACCACCAATGTAAGGGACATTCTTCCCACTGACCCCCAATGTAAGGGACATTCTTCCCACTGACCCCCAATGTAAGGGGCATTCTTCCCACTGACCCCAATGTAAGGGACATTCTTCCCACTGACCCCCAATGTAAGGGACATTCTTCCCACTGACCACCAATGTAAGGGACATTCTTCCCACTGACCCCCAATGTAAGGGACATTCTTCCCACTGACCACCAATGTAAGGGGCATTCTTCCCACTGACCCCCCCAATGTAAGGGACATTCTTCCCACTGATCACCAATGTAAGGGGCATTCTTCCCACTGACCCCCAATGTAAGGGACATTCTTCCCACTGACCCCCAATGTAAGGGGCATTCTTCCCACTGACCCCCAATGTAAGGGACATTCTTCCCACTGACCCCCAATGTAAGGGACATTCTTCCCACTGACCACCAATGTAAGGGACATTCTTCCCGCTGACCCCCAATGTAAGGGACATTCTTCCCACTGACCACCAATGTAAGGGACATTCTTCCCACTGACCACCAATGTAAGGAGCATTCTTCCCACTGATCCCCAATGTAAGGGACATTCTTTCCACTGACCCCCAATGTAAGGACATTCTTCCCACTGACCACCAATGTAAGGAGCATTCTTCCCACTGATCCCCAATACAAGGGACATTCTTTCCACTGACCCCCAATGTAAGGGACATTCTTCCCACTGATCACCAATGTAAGGGACATTCTTCCCACTGATCACCAATGTAAGGGACATTCTTCCTACTGACCCCCAATGTAAGGGACATTCTTCCCACTGATCACCAATGTAAGGGACATTCTTCCTACTGACCCCAATGTAAGGGACATTCTTCCCACTGACCCCCAATGTAAGGGACATTCTTCCCACTGACCCCCAATGTAAGGGACATTCTTCCCACTGACCCCCAATGTAAGGGACATTCTTCCCACTGACCCACAATGTAATGGACATTCTTCCCACTGACCCCCAATGTAAGGGACATTCTTCCCACTGACCCCCAATGTAAGGGACATTCTTCCCACTGACCCCCAATGTAAGGGACATTCTTCCCACTGACCACCAATGTGAGGGACATTCTTCCCACTGACCCCCAATGTAAGGGACATTCTTCCCACTGACCCCCAATGTAAGGGACATTCTTCCCACTGACCACCAATGTAAGGGACATTCTTCCCACTGACCCCCAATGTAAGGGACATTCTTCCCACTGACCCCCAATGTAAGGGACATTCTTCCCACTGACCCCCAATGTAAGGGACATTCTTCCCACTGACCCCCCAATGTAAGGGACATTCTTCCCACTGACCCCCAATGTAAGGGACATTCTTCCCACTGATCCCCAATGTAAGGGACATTCTTCCCACTGACCACCAATGTAAGGGACATTCTTCTCACTGACCACCAATGTAAGGGACATTCTTCCCACTGACCCCCAATGTAAGGGACATTCTTTCCACGGACCCCCAATGTAAGGGACATTCTTCCCACTGACCCCCAATGTAAGGGACATTCTTCCCACTGACCCCCAATGTAAGGGACATTCTTCCCACTGACCCCCAATGTAAGGGACATTCTTCCCACTGACCCCCAATGTAAGGGACATTCTTCCTACTGACCGCCAATGTAAGGGACATTCTTCCCACTGACCCCCAATGTAAGGGGCATTCTTCCTACTGACCGCCAATGTAAGGGACATTCTTCCTACTGACCCCCAATGTAAGGGACATTCTTCCTACTGACCGCCAATGTAAGGGACATTCTTCCCACTGATCACCAATGTGAGGGACATTCTTCCCACTGACCACCAATGTAAGGGACATTCTTCCCCTGACCCCCAATGTAAGGGACATTCTTCCCACTGACCCCCAATGTAAAGAGCATTGTAAAGGCATCCTCCATGCTGTACAATGTCCAGGATAGCTTAGGGGAATCTACTTCCAAATGGACGTTCCAGGGAGACCTCTTTACTCAACTTTTTCATGCACCTATGTTTGGCTGTTTAGGATCAGAGGACCAATTACTGTTGGGGGGAGGGGGCGCTACTGAAGAATCTAGGGCCACAAATAGTTGGTTTTCAAGGATCTGTAGTCAATAGGAGGTCTCCACTGAAAAATCTAGAGCCACCAAGATGTGGTCTTCAAGAATCCATTCTCATTGGGAGGTTTCTGATGAAGAATCCAAGGCCCACCGTATTTGCTCTTAATTAATCTGTTGTCATTGGGAGGCCATGTCTGAGAAATCTGTATCTGTCATAATCTGCTCTTAAAGGATCTACGGCGATCGGGAACCTGCTACTGGATCACTAGGCCCACCATCAATGTGGCTATCATTTTTCCGTGTCAGTACATTGGTGACTACAGAGCTGGTCACCACTAGGAAGCATAAGGAGAGCCAGGTCTTTTTTTCCCTCAGATAATAGGTGCAGGTACTCCCCCCTTCCAAGTCACCCCTCATCTCAGCCCCCTACCCACCTCAGAGTATTGTCCCTTGGTTCCACCCCCTACCCACTTCTCAGAACTGCCCCTTCATTTTGTGGTGCTAAGTCATTTGTATGGATTTTGTTCCTAGATTGTTACTGTCCTGTCTCATGTTCTGTCCCCACTATAATGTACAGCGCTGAGCAAACCTTCTGCCGCCATATAAATCCTGTATAATAATAATAATAAGAAGAAAAGCAGAAAAATACAGTAGATCCCCCAGCAGCCAGCAACAACAGGAACAACCCACTCTATCAACAATAGATTCCTCCCGCACCACCAAAACACCTCCCCTTGCCAGCAACAATAGATCACCACTAACAACAATAGATCTCCCAGCAGCCAACAACAATACACCCCTCACTTCACAGTAGATCACTCAAGCAACAATAGACCCTCCAGCAGCCATGAACAATACACCCCTCACTCAACAGTAGATTACCCAAGCAACAATAGATCCCCCAGTAACAATACAGCCCTTACTCCACAGTAGATTACTCAAGCAACAATAGATCTCCGAGCAGTCAGCAACAATATACCCCTCACTCCACAGTAGATCAATCAAGCAACAATAGATCCCCCAGCAGCCAGCAACAATACACCCCTCACTCCACAGTAGATCACTCAAGCAACAATAGATCCCCAGCAGCCAGCAACAATACACCCCTCTCTCTCAACAGTAGATCACTCAAGCAACAATAGATCCCCCAGCAACCATACACCCCTTACTCCACAGTAGATCACTCAAGCAACAATAGATCCCCCAGCAACCATACACCCCTTATTCCACAGTAGATCACTCAAGCACCAATAGATCCCCCAGCAGCCAGCAACAATAAACCTCTCATTCCACAGTAGATCACTCAAGCAACAATAGATCCCCCAGCAGCCAGCAACAATACACCCCCCTCACTCAACAGTAGATCACTCAATCAACAATAGATCCCCCAGCAGCCAGCAACAATACACCCCTCACTCAACAGTAGATCACTCAAGCAACAATTGAGCCCTCAGCAGCATAACCCCCCTCCCCATGACAATAGATCCCCACCAGCAATAATATACCTGGGCAGCACAGTGGCTAAATGGTCAGCACTTCCCCCTGGCAGTACTCGGGTCGTGTGTTCGAATCCCAGCCACGGCACCTCCTACCTGGAGTTTGCATGTTCTCCCTGTGCCTGCGTGGGTTTCCTCCGGGTACTCCGGTTTCCTCTCACACTCCAAAGACATGCTGGTATGTGAATTGGATCCTGTCTAAATTGGCCCTAGTCTGTGTATGTATGAATGTGAGTTAGGAACCGTAGATTGTACGCTCCTCGGGGGCGGGGACTGATGTGAATGTACAATATATATGTAAAGTGCTGCGTAAACTGACTATATACTGTAAGTACCTGAAATAAAATAAATAATAAATAAATGCCTCCCCAGCAATAATAGATCTCCTCCTGAAACAATTTGATCCCCCAGCAGCCAGCATCAATGGACCCGCCAGCACCCCTTGCTATTATATTAGGTGCAGGGGAGGACTGACCATTTCAGCACTCAGGCACTGCCCGAGGGCCCAGGGTCAGTAGGGGGCCCCATGAAATGCCCCTGGTACCTTTTATAAGCTTTTTTTGGGTGTCCTTTGAGTGTGGGCAAGGACACAGGGGCCCCATGATCCCCTATTTCCTGGGGGCCCCATGAGTTGCCAGTCCGCCATTGAATAGGTGCCGTAGGTGCTGGAACTTGTGTTCCTCCACGTTCCTGCCACAAAAAAAAAAAAGCCCCACGGAGAGTCCATTGTATACCAGCAGCCCCCACATGGGGTTAGTCTTGATTTTAGAGGCGCTTTGACACCCAAAACGTGGAACAATGTGACGCCCACCGGTCTCCATCGCGGTTCATTAGCAGACTGGTCCTGTTTGAATGGCATTTAACATCATCAAAAGTTTGTAAAGCTGCAGCTTACGGCGGCATTACAGCGCGGCGGCAGATCAGGCGCTTTTCAGTCGTAGTAACAGCAGGCGCTCATCACTTCCAGGAAAGGGTAGATCATATTTTTTTGGCACGCTAAAAGTTTTCGTTTTTTATCTTGTCATAAAAGCACACTTAGAGCGCGCATTAAAACGCTCTTTGATGTTTTCCCCGATCCAGGGCTACTAAACAGAGAAAACGGCATCATCATTTCCCGCATTACTTAAAGGGACATTCCTCTGAAAACCCGCTAATCCCCTTCCCGGTCGTGTGACGGCCATCGTACACCGAGAAACCAATGAAATTTACTGTTTTTATTATTATTATACAGGATTTATGGCGCCAACAGTGTGCTCAGCGCTTTACAATATAACGGGAGACAATACGGCAACAATACAGTTCAATACAAGAGGGATAGGAGGGCCCTGATCCTGGGAGCTTACAATCTAGGAGGGAGGGGCTAGTGGTACAAAAGGTAATAACTGTGGGGGATGGACTGGTAGGAGGAGTAGAAGATTCCATTATTAGCTGAGGGCAGGATAGGCTTCCCTGAAGAGAGAGGTTTTCAGAGATCGCCTAAAAGTGGGCAGAGTAGGCGATTGTCTGATAGCTTGGGGTAGAGAGTTCCAGAGGATGGGGGAGGCTCTGGAGAATAAGCATGGAAGGAGGAGACAAGGGAGCTAGAGAGCAGGAGGTTGTGAGAGGAGCGGAGGGATTTATAATAGAAGATACAAGGAAGTTTGGGCTACCCTGATCACCTAGGAGAGGGGTATGCGGCAAGGTGGGCTTGAAGGCAGAAGAAGGCTTAAGAATGGGTGAGGAATGGTTTAAAGATATGAGGTAGGGAGGAGGTGGTTATAATTTAGGGAATCTTTGAGGAGGACCAGACAGAAAGATGAGTAGTTTTACCAAGATGGCAGTCTGGTGGGCCGAACTACTCATCTTTCTGTTTGTTCCTCCTCAAAGATTCTCAAACTTTTGCCATTTCGATCATAGCCATGTCCACACTTTTACCAAGATGGCGGTCTGGTGGGCCAAAGTGTGGACATGCTATGATCGAAATGGCAAAAGTTTGAGAATTGAGGTACGGGACTTGGCTTGTTTGTCTTCTGTTGCTCCTGAAACTCTGAGGCTGACTCCATCTTGTGACCGGACCTTGTCTTCTACCTGCTGTTCTGGTACCTCCATCTTGGGACCCAACCTGGAAGGCAGGAGAAGGGTTAAGAATGGGTGGGGAATGGTTTAATGATATGAGGTAGGGAGGAGGTGGTTATAATTTAGAAAATCTTTGAGGAAGACCAGACAGAAAGATGAGTAGTCCGGCCCCACCAGACTGCCATCTTGGTAAAAGTGTGGACATGGCTATGATCGAAATGGCAAAGGTTTGAGAATTGAGGTATGGGACTGTCAGGAATGGACTTGCCAGTGGTGGTGAGACTCACCTGCCTTGTGGGCTGCAGTACCAGGGCTGGCCAGCGGGTGCTCTCAGCAACCAGAGGCTCACTCCTGCAATGAGCCATCACCTGAGGCTGATTACAGCAGGTGTATTTAAGGAATGGCCAGGCCTGTGATCAGTGCCTTGGTGTATGTTTCCCATGAGCCCCTGTACCTGCATCCTGTCTGCTTCCTGCCTGATCCTGATTCTGCTTTAATCCTGACTCTGCATGAACTCTGCCTGTCCTGACCTCGGCTATTCCTGACTACGCTTCCGCCTACTCCTTGTACCTTGCCTGCCCGTTTGCTACTGACCCGGCCTGTCTGACTACGTTTAGTATTGTTCTTATTGTTATCTGTTGGAGGTTTGTTTGCACTGCGTTTATGTATTGTTTAGTCTTTAATAAATTGTATTGTTTATACTATACCTGGAGCCTGTGTTTCCCTGTGTCAGTCCACACATTTCTGGTCATACCCGGATCCCTAACAGGGACTCGGCTTCTTTGACTTCTGTTTGCTCCTGAAACTGAGGCTGAATCCAGCTTGTGACCCAACCTTGTCTTCTACCTGCTGTTCTGGTACCTCCATCTTGTGTGTGACCCAACCTTGTCTTCTACCTGCTGTTCTGGTACCTCCATCTTGTGACCCGACCTTGTCTTCTATCTTCTGTTCTGGTACCTCCACCTTGTGACCCGACCTTGTCTTCTATCTGCTGTTCTGATACCTCCATCTTGGGACCCAACCTAGAAGGCAGGAGAAGGGTTAAGAATGGGTGGGAAATTGAGGAGGAACAGATAGAAAGATGAGTAGTTTGGCCCACCAGACCGCCATCTTGGTAAAAGTGTGGACATGGCTATTATCGAAACGGCAAAAGTTTGAGAATTGAGGTACAGGACTCGGCTTGTCTTCTGTTGCTCCTGAAACTCTAAGGCTGACTCCAGCTTGTGACCCATCCTTGTCTTCTACCTGCTGTTCCGCTACCTCCTTTGCTTCCTTGACACCAACCATAACCTGGCTCTGACTCCACTCCTGGTACCTGTTCTCCATTCGGTGCCTCTGCTGCCAACTTCTACCTGCCTGACCACGCATCTGAGATCCTGCAACTGCCAGCTTGCCTGCTACACAGGGTTCAGCTCTGCTATTCTACTATTAGATCCAAACTGGATTGGAATGACCAACTTGGAACAACCACCTATTTCATCCTCCAGGTTGTCTGCTTTCAGAAAATATATCATGTTTTAACTACCGTATTTTTCGCACCATAAGACGCACTTTTTTCCCCCCAAAAAAGGGGGGGGAAAATGTCAGTGCGTCTTATGGAGCGAATATGGAGCGGCCGGTCCGGTATTTCCACCGCGGCCGTGTCAGAATACCGGGCCGGCCGCTCAGCTCTACAGCGGGACCTTATAGAGATGACTGCTGACCTTTGGGGAGGGGGGGGGGGGGAGGTACCTGAATTTGACAGATACCCGCTCCCACTCCGTGGAGTTGTTCTTTCATCTTACCCGTTCCTCTATCCAGCGGCGCGGTCTTCCTGGCTTCTGTAGTGTGGGCATGACAGCCGGGTGCCAAGTGCGCATGCGCAGTAAGCGGTGCTTTTTGTGAATGGTAAGGTGGCACCTGGGACACATGACAGATCCCAGAAGCCGCCGGACCAATCACAAAGCGCAAGCGCTTCTCGCTCATGCGCACTTGGCACCCGGCTGTCATGCCGAGCGCCATTACAGAAGCCGGGAAGACAGCGCGCGGCTGGATAGAGGAACAGGTAAGATGAAAGAACAACTCCGCGGAAATGGGAGCGGGTATCTGTCAAATTCAGGTACCTCCCCCCCCCCCAAAGGTCAGCAGTCATCCCCTGTACTATCCACAGTCTCTGGTCATCCCTGTGCTCTCCGCAGTCTCTGGTCATCCCCTGTACTGTGTCCGCAGTCTCTGGTCATCTCCTGCACTGTGTCCGCAGTCTCTGGTCATCTCCTGTACTGTGTCCGCAGTCTCTGGTCATCCCCTGTACTATGTCCGTAGTCTCTGGTCATCTCCTGTACTATGTCCGCAGTCTCTGGTCATCTCCTGTACTGTGTCCGCAGTCTCTGGTCATCTCCTGCACTGTGTCCGCAGTCTCTGGTCATCTCCTGTACTGTGTCCGCAGTCTCTGGTCATCTCCTGTACTGTGTCCGCAGTCTCTGGTCATCCCCTGTACTATGTCCGTAGTCTCTGGTCATCCCCTGTACTGTGTCCGCAGTCTCTGGTCATCTCCTGTACTGTGTCCGCAGTCTCCGGTCATCTCCTGTACTATGTCCGCAGTCTCCGGTCATCTCCTGTACTGTGTCCGCAGTCTCCGGTCATCTCCTGTACTGTGTCCGCAGTCTCTGGTCATCTCCTGTACTGTGTCCGCAGTCTCTGGTCACCCCTGTACTATGTCCGCAGTCTCTGGTCATCTCCTGTACTGTGGCCGCAGTCTCTGATCATCTCCTGCACTGTCCGCAGTCTCTGGTCATCTCCTGTACTGTATCCGCAGTCTCTGGTCATCTCCTGTCTCTGACTGTACTGTGTCTGCAGTCTCTGGTCATCTCCTGTACTATGTCCGCAGTCTCTGGTCATCTCCTGTACTGTGGCCGCAGTCTCTGATCATCTCCTGCACTGTCCGCAGTCTCTGGTCGTCTCCTGTACTGTGTCCGCAGTCTCTGGTCATCTCCTGTACTGTGTCCGCAGTCTCTGGTCATCTCCTGTACTGTGTCCGCAGTCTCTGGTCATCTCCTGTACTGTGTCTGCAGTCCATTAGTTCAGAATTTTTTTTTTCCTGTTTTCTGCCTCTAAAACCTAGGTGCGTCTTATGGTCAGGTGCGTCTTATGGAGCGAAAAATACGGTAATCTTCAAGCCTAAAATGTGTATTTTAAAATGTGTGCAAAAAAAAAAGAAAGAAAAAACAGCGCTGGCATTGAAAGGGTTAAACAATAAACTCAGACTGAATCCAGAGGAAGGAAAGAAAAAAAAAACTCTTATAAATTGCCAACCAATTTGCTTTATCGGGGAGAAAACTCCTTTCCTCTTCTCAAAGGCAATCTAATGGCTCCCCAGTCTAACATTCTACAAGGTTTGTCTTTATAATTACAAGTATCTGTTTACAATTTGTGCTGTTAGAAAAAAAATCCTAATTTTTGACCAAATTTCAGAGAAAATTAAGACAGCTGTAAAGGAGCGTGGTATATAAAGAACTTTAAATATACCCCCCCCCCGGAATTATTCATTGGTCATAATTACAATTATTAACGATTTATAGAATTGTGTTTTTATTGTGTACAAAATAATAAAACACCACCCAAGTACATAAAAATGAATAAACAGGATCCTCTTATTAACAACAAGAAGTATATATTTAAAAGCCACAGAAAGCCCAAAATATTGTATCCAACTCAGTCTACGCGTTTTCGTGGTAATTCCGGTTCAGGGGGCTTCCATGGGAATATTGATAACAAATCAAGATCCATCTATAACCTAACACCAACAAATCATCTAATGCTTGGTGGTAAGGCTGGCCATCTTCTTCCCCCTAGTCTGGGGGGGGGGCGTACAAAAAAAACAGAAAGGGGTAAGACTGCACCCAATTTTGAAGCAAAGGTCCCAAAGGAAAAGCAAATATCAGGTCCACAGAATGGAATACCCACATGGAAGAAAAATATATTTTGAAACAGGGGCGGACTGACCATTTGGAAACTTGGGCAGGGCCCGGGGTCAGTAGGGGCCCCCATGAGATGCCCTTGGTACCTTTTTCATAGGCTTTTTTGAGTTTGGGCAAGGACACAGGGGCCCCATGATCCCCTATTGCCTGGGGGCCCCATGAGTTGTCAGTCCGCCCCTGTTTTGAAATATATTTTTAAAAATATTCTTCCCAAATACATTGACATAGGGCTCGCTCCCCCTACCCAGAAATGCAAAATCACGTGTATATATATATATATATATATATACATATACATACATACATATATACACACACACATGATTTTACGCACCCCTGCTGCCCTGTAGTATAATATCCCATATAGAAGAAAAATATATTTGAAATACTACAATTTTGGCCATATTCAATATATATCTCGCATGTTGAAATGTGTTTTTATTACAAAATATATGAAAAACATTTTAAAAAATACATTTAAAATATACTGTCTGTCTTTAAAAATACATTTAATCTACATTTAGAATGCATTTCCAAATATATGTAAAAATGACTTTTATATGTTAAAAAAAAAATCTGAAGAACATATTTAAAAAAAAATATATATTTTTTAAATATATATATTTTTAAAAATATATGCTTCAGATTTTTTTCTAACATATAAAAAAGTAATTTTAACATATATTTTTACATGTATTTGGAAATGCATTCCAAGTATGTAGATTTTATTTTTAAAGACAGACAGTATATTTGAAATGTATTTTTAAAAATATTTTTCAGATCTCACTATGATTTGTAATACAATTCAAACCCATAGCCCGTCTGTTACATGTTGTGTCTGTGTTTGGACTGTAACCTATATTTGTATTCATATCGATCTGCCTTAACTCTTCCAATAAAATTATTTTTGGGAAAAAAATCTATATATTTTTCATATATTTTGTAATAAAAATGCACTTCAGCATCCAATATATATATATATATATATATATATATATATATATACAGGGGCGGACTGATAACTCATGGGGCCCCCGGGCAATAGGGGATCATGGGGCCCCTGTGTCCTTGCCCAAACTCAAAAAAGCCTATGAAAAAGGTACCAAGGGCATCTCATGGGGCCCCCTACTGACCCCGGGCCCTGCCCAAGTTTCCAAATGGTCAGGCCCCGCCCCTGTTTCAAAATATATTTTTCTTCCATGTGGGTATTCCATTCTGTGGACCTGATATTTGCTTTTCCTTTGGGACCTTTGCTTCAAAATTGGGTGCATTTCATGGGGCCCCCTACTGACCCCTGGCCCTCGGGCAGTGCCCGAGTTTCCAAATGGTCAGTCTGCCCCTGTATATATATATATATTTTGAAATATATTGAATACGGCCAAAATTGTAGTATTTCAAATATCAATATATTATATTATATATACAATATATTTCAATATATATTGTAGTATGTCAATATATTTGGGAAGAATATTTTTAAAATGTATTTCAAATATATTTTTCTTCCCTATGGGTGGTCCTTCTGTTGGGTCCCAGCTTTCGGCCATGCCCATTTTTCGGTGCCACGTTCCTCTCTTGCTTTCTCCGGCACGAGTCGGTAATGTTTCCTGTAGTCCATCATTTCACACGGCCCGGTATCATTTCCAGCAGACGGGTCCCCTCTCCCACCATAACTAACGTGAATTTAGTCGCCTTCTTCTGTCAGATCGCCGGCTGCGCTATCAAAGGTTTTCTGCGGGGCTTAGCGGACGGATTGAACTTGTCGCGGGAAGCGTCTCCATGGCGGGAATTGCATTATGATAATGATAAGAATAATTAAAAAGACTCTTCTAGAAAATCCTCCACTTAGGAATCCGGAATTAATATTTCACATTCCATCCCGGGCGGGCAAGAATGTCACGTTTAGATGAAAATGACGACGAGATGAAAATCCCGGCTTTTGACTTTGCCAGTCCTGCAAAAGGTGAAAAAGAAAAAACTTTAGACAACGCGCAGCGCAATAAATAATATCGGCGACAAAAGCGCAGGAAACCGACGCGGGGCTGGGATTATGGATGTGGTGTCAGGACTGAACTCCGGGAATCACAAAATTGAACAACGCAGTAAGATGTACCACCGTTTTCACCGCTTTCCCGCCCCCCTTATGGTAGAGCACAATAGCCCCCCCCCCAGCTAGCCTAACTGGGACCTTAGTGAGCAGCAAAAAAACATGGTCAATCTTCCCAGAGGGGCAGCAGCCCCTCCAGACTGAGATCTTCTCCTCTAGGACAAGGAGCCCTCTGTTCCAAGCCCCAGACCATTTATGCTCCCTCCCAGTTATCGCCTGAGGACCCCTCCGCAGGGATTGGCTGGGACTGCATTAATACTTAGCTGCTTACCATTGACCCCACTGTGGCCCCCCATGTGCCCGCTGTGCTAGCCATCACCTGCAGGAGGGTTCCCTCGGTGGGTGATAGGCCGGTTCACAGCGAGTTCAGGGGAGCTAATAGAGGGGTTCCATCTCTCCCAACCCACTATGTGCCGGAACCAGGGGCGGACTGACCATTTAGCCACTCAGGCACTGCCCGAGGGCCCAAGGTCAGTAGGGGGCCCCATGAGATGCCCCTGGTACCTTTCATAGGCTTTTTTGGGTGTGGTTTGAGTGTGGGTGAGGACACAGGGGCCCATGATTTCCTATTGCCCGGGGGCTCCATGAGTTGTCAGTCCGCCCCTGTCCAGAACCATCCAGACAGGGAGAAGCAGTCAATCCTGCAGCCAGTGAGAGATACAGAACAGACCAAAATTATTACAGCGAGCTAATCATTAAATTGACTTAACCCAGCCCCTATCTAGGAGGTGCTACACTGAAAACACGTAAAACACAAAAAAAAAACCACACACACCACACAGAGCATGCATCACACGCAGCACATGACACATACAGTACCTCAGATATATAAATACTGTATATCAGGAGTTACATTTTTACATTTTTAAGGTCAGTTTATATAAAAAACTCCTGGCATTAAAAAAAAAAAACTAATCCCGAAAGCCTCCATGAACTCCATTCTAGTTAGCACACCGATGGTGTGTCATACCGCCCCACACTTTGTAGGAGTCGAATCGCAGAGTTTTGGGTGGGAAAGGAGCTTTTATTTTCAGATTCGCTGAGTTCCTGTAAGAGGAAGATTCTCCTTCATTCTCTGGAAGGGAAAGTTTAGGGAATTGTTACAATGTTGCGTTATGATTTCATCGCCCGCCATAAAGTGCGCCCGCCGGTTCCTTGCTGACAGACTGTCAATCACAGAGGGTGATGGGGGGGGGGGCGTGTCCAAAACACAAGAGTAGGTAGCAACGTATGGGTATGTCGCTTTGCCCATGGCAGTCCCACAATGCATTGCAGGTGGGCGGGCGTGAAGTGATACTTTGTAGCATATTTAAGCTGGAAGTATAATTCTGATACAAAATTGCTCGTCACGTGATCTCACTCTGGTGTTTTATTGGCCGTTGCAGAAGTTATAAGAAATGTTTCTAAAGCCATATACTGAGTTAATACTTTGTGGTTGGGGCAGGGCTGCTGTTAGAAACCACGGGGCCCCATACAGCCAATTTGATAGGGGTCCCCCCTCCAAAAAAACAAAACAGTTTAGTATGCTTCAGTTATGAATGAACACAGTGAGTGATTGGTACAATCACTCATTGTGTTCATTCAGGAAAGGGCCACTGAAGTGTCCCTGCAGGATCCTATTGTGTGCTTGCAGCTGCCGATGGGACGGAGAGGAGGGAAGCCACTGTGGGGGTGGGGGCACATGGGGGGGGGGGGGCTGGCCAGCAGGGGGAACACATGGTGCACAGGGAGGGTAACAGATGCGGCGGGGGGTTGCAGTTACTGGAACCGATCCCCTGTATGACTATCTCTGCAACAGCTGAAGGACAGCGGGAGGGAGAGGAGAAGAAGCCCCCAAAAACACAGTTTACTATGCTTCAGTTATGAATGTATACAGTGAGTGATTGGTACCAATCACTCATTGTGTTCATTCAGGAAAGGAAGGGGCTGGTAAATGTAACATATTTACTGGACCCTTCCCCCACTCTCCATCCTGAAGGATCCTATTGCATGCCTGCAGCTGCTGGTAGGAAGAAGAGGAGGGACACAGGGGGTGGGGGCACATAGGGGGGCCTGGGCAGTAGGGGAAAAGGATGGTGCACAGGGAGGGTGATGGGTGTGGGGGGAGGGGGCAATTACAGGAATTGATCCCCCTGTATGGCTCTGTCTGCAGCAGCTGAAAGCCAGCGGGAGGGAGAGGAGAAGAAGCCGACTTTCAGCTGCTGCAGTGAGAGCCATACAGGGGGATCAATTCCTGAAATTGCCCCCCTCCCCCCACACCCATCACCCTCCCTGTCTACATCCGATTCACCAACTGCCTGGGCCCCCCTGCTGGCCTGGGTCCCGTAGAAGAGAACTGGTGGTACCCCCCAGCCCTGGCTTGGGGGAGCAATGGGTTAGCTGTCTTCCATGGTCCTCTTGGTGACCCCTCCAACCCACAAAGTGGTCCAGAACGTGGCCTGTACAGCACGCCAAGATGCTTCTCTGCACCCATCATGCGTCAAAGACGGAGTCAGATATAATATTTTCGATGTTCTCTAAGAAAGAAAACCTGGAGGGGGGGATGGGGGGAGGGGGATGGGGGGGGGTTAGTTTGGATGAACTGAAAATGGAGTCATCTTCAATATTATTTCCTGTCCTTCCCCCGAGCCGCTCTGCGTTTTATTAGCATAACCCGCCGAGTCGCCTGGCAGGCGTTTCACTTCCGCGGCCCAATAGAAAGTCGGCGGCTTCCCAATAACCTTTAATAAAATTCCTAATAAAAAGAGTGTAAGTGGCGAGGTCGGGGGCCGGCGCAGCGGCGATCGACTTTTATGTCAGGTTGTCACCATTCGTTCTGCCAGGAGAATTGCCATTTAGCCCTTCCAAAGCTGATTTTGTGTTCATCGGCAGACGGCGGTGACTCTCACGGCTTCAACTACCACCTATATGCCGACGACACACAAATCTATCTCTCAACCCCCCACCTCACCCCCTCGGTCTCCGCCCGAATCACACACCTACTGAGTGACATATCAGACTGGATGTCGCTCCACTTCCTTAAACTGAACCTCTCCAAAACCGAGCTCCTAGTCCTCCCCCCCAGCCCGGACCCCCCCCCCATTGACTTCTCCATCATGACCAACAATGCTGTCATCAGGCCCGCCCCGCAGGACAGAGTACTTGGTGTCATTCTGGACTCCAACCTATCCTTCCAGCCCCAAGTCCAATCTTTAACAAACTCGTGCAGACTCCACCTCCGCAACATGCAGACTCCGCCTCCGCAACATGCAGACTCCACCTCCGCAACATGCAGACTCCGCCTCTGCGACATGCAGACTCCACCTCCGCAACATCGCCAAACTCTGCACGTTCCTAACCCCAGAAACCACTAAACAGCTCATCCACTCCCTCATCATATCACGACTCGACTACTGCAACTCCCTCCTCACTGGCCTGCCTCGCCGCTGGCTATCCCCGCTTCAGTCTATCCTGAACTCAGCGGCCAGACTCATCCATTTCTTACCAACCGCTCCATCTCCGCCACCCCCCTCTGCCAATCCCTCCACTGGCCTCCTTTCAGTGTCCTCCACCCCTCTCTGACAATCCCTCCACTGGCCTCCATTCAGTGTCCTCCACCCCTCTCTGCCAATCCCTCCACTGGCCTCCACTCAGTGTCCTCCACCCCTCTCTGCCAATCCCTCCACTGGCCTCCACTCAGTGTCCTCCACCCCCCTCTGCCAATCCCTCCACTGGCCTCCACTCAGTGTCCTCCACCCCCCTCTGCCGATCCCTCCACTGGCTCCGCAACGGATCAAATTCAAAATCCTAACACTGACGTACAAAGCCGTCCACCATACTGCCCCGAACTACATCACCGACCTAATATCCAAGTACCACCCAACACGCACACTCCGCTCCTCACAAGACCTCCTTCTCTCTAGTTCCCTGGTCTCCTCCTCCCATGCCTGCCTCCAGGACTTCTCCAGGGCATCACCCATCCTCTGGAACTCCCTACCCCAATCCATCAGACGGTCACCTACTCTCCTCTCCTTTAGGTGCACCCTGAAAACCCATCTCTTCAGGGAACCCCCTGCTAATTCCCGACCTCTACTCTTCCTACCACTCCATCCCCCACAGCCACTTCCTCCTGTACCACCATCCCCTCCCTCCTAGATTGTAAGCTCCAAGGAGCAGGGCCCTCGATCCCCTCATGTATCGCATTGTATTGTTACTGTACTGTCTCATGTATTGTCTCCCTTTGTAATGTACAGCGCTGAGCGAACTGTTGGCGCTTTATAAATACTGTATAATAATAATAATTTCTGCTGAATTTGTCGTTGTATTCTGTCTCTCAGTGTTACAACACACCGAACATTCGATTTTTAGACCGATCGTTTCTTTGTGAGGGGCGAACATTCAACATCAGCAGGGGAGCAAATACGCATTTCCTTCACTGAATATATACTGTATACATAAACACATTTTATATATATTTATTGATATATTTTTGAAATATATTGAATACGGCCAAAATTGTCGCATTTCAGATATATGTCAATATATTTGGGAAGGATATTTTTTTAAAATATATTTCAAATATATTTTTCTTCCATGTGGGTAGATTGGGACCGGAGCTCCTTTTTTTAAAACTAGTGGGAAAAAAAAATATTGATAACCTTTAAAACTATTGCCCATATCTGTGCCATCTCTGTAAGATTTAGTAACGTTTCTGGAACGATTGTTCTGGCGGAATGTTTTGTTTCTGGAGCGATTTGTTGAGTATAACTCTCCGTCTCATTACTGTACAATGACACGAAGGGATAAACGGCTCACAGAGGCAAATTAAAAGCAGCCGCATCAATATTTATGTTGGAAATTTACAGTGTAATGTCCGTATGGAGTCGCCGCGCAGTGCCAGATGCTGCTGTAATTCATTAGGCGGTTTATTAAGGATGAGTTTCCACCTTCCAGTCAATAATTGAGCAGTTGCCTGGGCCAGGTGGTACCACAATAACGCCGCGTCACCCACAATCCGGCAGATACCGCTGTGTTGGCCATTCATCAAGACTCGGCATAACGAAGTGTAAATCACATTAGCGGCACTTCTTCTTGTATGGTAAGTCGAAACAATATTATTTACAGATGTTCCGTACAACGAGAAATCCAGGAGATTTATGAAGTCTGCCGCTGTTACTCCACAACGAATGTAACAATAGGGGACGAATAATCGAGGTTTTCCACGACATTTTAAATCAGCTACCGTATTTTTCGCTCCATAAGACGCACCTGACCATAAGACGCACCTGGGTTTTAGAGGCGAAAAACAGGAAAAAAAAAAAATTCTGAACCAATGGACTGCAGACATAGTACAGGAGATGACCAGAGACTGCAGACATAGTACAGGAGATGACCAGAGACTGCAGACACAGTACAGGAGATGACCAGAGACTGCAGACACAGTACAGGAGATGACCAGAGACTGCGGACACAGTACAGGAGATGACCAGAGACTGCGGACACAGTACAGGAGATGACCAGAGACTGCAGACATAGTACAGGGATGACCAGAGACTGCAGACACAGTACAGGAGATGACCAGAGACTGCAGACATAGTACAGGAGATGACCAGAGACTGCGGACACAGTACAGGAGATGACCAGAGACTGCGGACACAGTACAGGAGATGACCAGAGACTGCGGACACAGTACAGGGGATGACCAGAGACTGCAGACACAGTACAGGAGATGACCAGAGACTGCGGACACAGTACAGGAGATGACCAGAGACTGCAGACACAGTACAGGGGATGACCAGAGACTGCAGACATAGTACAGGAGATGACCAGAGACTGCGGACACAGTACAGGAGATGACCAGAGACTGCGGACACAGTACAGGAGATGACCAGAGACTGCGGACATAGTACAGGAGATGACCCAGAGACTGCAGACATAGTACAGGAGATGACCAGAGACTGCGGACACAGTACAGGAGATGACCAGAGACTGCAGACACAGTACAGGAGATGACCAGAGACTGCAGACACAGTACAGGAGATGACCAGAGACTGCAGACATAGTACAGGAGATGACCAGAGACTGCGGACACAGTACAGAGATGACCAGAGACTGCGGACATAGTACAGGAGATGACCAGAGACTGCGGACATAGTACAGGGGATGACCAGAGACTGCGGACATAGTACAGGAGATGACCAGAGACTGCGGACACAGTACAGGAGATGACCAGAGACTGCGGACACAGTACAGGAGATGACCAGAGACTGCGGACACAGTACAGGAGATGACCAGAGACTGCGGACACAGTACAAGAGATGACCAGAGACTGCGGACACAGTACAGGAGATGACCAGAGACTGCGGAGACACAGTACAGGAGATGACCAGAGACTGCGGACACAGTACAGGAGATGACCAGAGACTGCGGACATAGTACAGGAGATGACCAGAGACTGCGGACACAGTACAGGAGATGACCAGAGACTGCGGACACAGTACAGGAGATGACCAGAGACTGCGGACATAGTACAGGGGATGACCAGAGACTGCGGACATAGTGCAGGAGATGACCAGAGACTGCGGACACAGTACAGGAGATGACCAGAGACTGCGGACACAGTACAGGAGATGACCAGAGACTGCGGACACAGTACAGGAGATGACCAGAGACTGCGGACATAGTACAGGAGATGACCAGAGACTGCGGACACAGTACAGGAGATGACCAGAGACTGCGGACACAGTACAGGAGATGACCAGAGACTGCGGACACAGTACAGGAGATGACCAGAGACTGCAGACATAGTACAGGAGATGACCAGAGACTGCAGACATGATACAGGAGATGACCAGAGACTGCAGACACAGTACAGGAGATGACCGGAGACTGCGGACACAGATACAGGAGATGACCAGAGACTGCAGACATAGTACAGGAGATGACCAGAGACTGCAGACACAGTACAGGAGATGACCAGAGACTGCGGACACAGTACAGGAGATGACCAGAGACTGCAGACATAGTACAGGAGATGACCAGAGACTGCGGACACAGTACAGGAGATGACCAGAGACTGCGATGACCATTCACAAAGCGCAGCACATGCGCAGTGGGCACCCGGCTGTCACAGAAGCCAGCGCGGGAAGACTGCACCGCTGGAGCGAGGAACAGGTAAGGCCCTGCAGGAGAGAACAGCTGAGCGGCCGGCCCGGTATTCTGTCATGGTGGCGGCAGAAATACCGGACCGGCCGCTTTATATTCGCTCCATAAGATGCACTGACATTTTCCCCCCTTTTTTGGGGGAAAAAAGTGCGTCTTATGGAGCGAAAAATACGGTAAATGAATTCCATCGGAATAAAAAGGTGGGCGAAGTCTTACAGTTCTTTTTTCTTTATAAAAGCAGCCACAGCCTAAGTGGAAAAGCCTGTCCTCTGCCAGCATGCTGCAAAGTAGGACCCTCGCTCTGTGTGTGAAAGCGGTGTACCCGGTTGAGTCATAGCTGGACCTCTCTAGGTGGGTAGGACTTCCTCCATGTTCCCCTCCTCATCGGTTGCCAAGTGTGGGCCACATAGGAGGCCTACCCTGGGATGGGTTCCTCTGGTCTACACTAGGCACCGTGGACGGGGTCACTCACCCTGCACATGGGGTACCTTCACTGGATAGAAAGAAAACCAACAGAGGGTGCACCGGCCTGGTGCATTACCATAAAAAACATTTATTGAAGTAAGAAAAATAGGTATCGTACTCACAAATGACATAGATGTCAAAGGCACATCATAAAGAACAGCACAACACGGAAAGGTTTCTTCACAGTAAGAGCTGTGAGAATGTGGAATAGACTCCCTCCAGAGTTGGGTGTGGCCAGCTCAGTGGGTTGCTGTAGGAAAGTCCTGGATTCTTTCTTGGATACACAGAATATAACTGGATATAAACATTTATAGGGAAAGTTGATCCAGGGAATATCCGATTACCTCTCGGGGGATCAGGAAGGAATCTTTTTTTCCCTGCAGGAGCAAATTTGAAAGGTTTCTTCACAGTAAGAGCTGTGAGAATGTGGAATAGACTCCCTCCAGAGTTGGGTGTGGCCAGCTCAGTGGATTGCTGTAGGAAAGTCCTGGATTCTTTCTTGGATACACAGAATATAACTGGATAGAACATTTATAGGGAAAGTTGATCCAGGGAATATCCGATTGCCTCTCGGGGGGTCAGAAAGGAATTTTTTCCCTGCAGGAGCAAATTGGATCGTGCTTTGCTGGGTTTTTGCCTTCCTCTGGATAAACTGTGGGTGTAGGATTATAACTTTTTTTTTATGGTTAAACTGGATGGACTTTTGTCTCTTTTCAGCCAGACTAACTATGTAACTGTCCAATCCACGCTACATGTCCATCTGCAATGGGAATCCTGAACTTCCAACAGGCTAATGCGTTTCGAGGACTTGCCTCTTCCACAGAGACCTTCACTGTGCCAAGCTCATCAATGGTCCAGGACATGGCTGAAGCCATCTTCAAGGATGACTCAACCTTATGGCAGATCTCCAGCTTAGAGATGACCAAACACCAAGAAACTGGACTCCAGTTCACTCTCTTGGTCCCGTGTCAAAGCACAACTTCACTGTATCTTGTTGCATTTTGGAGGGACACGCTGATCCTGTGCCCGCTCTACCCGTCCATTGTATCTCTGTTACCTCAATCTCAGTAACAATGGGGAATGCGGTCCCACCATGCACCTAGCATGGACTCCATGGGTGCACTCAGTTAACTCTTACTCTTCCATTTCCAAGGCCAAGGGCTTCTGCTGTGTTGTTCTGCTCCCATTGCTATGGGTGATGGACCACTCGGGATAGAGTGCCGAAAGCAACCCCGCTCGCTGCTAGAGGACATCCTGCCTATCACAGGTATGAGCTTCACGACAGATGGCTTGTATTTGTTGCTAGACTACTGTGGCCCTTGGTAACCATTTGCTTGTACTCCACAGTATGTTAACTCTTGAGGAACTGTCTTCATACCCCAATGTGCTTTACTAACCCAAGATGTAGATTATGTATAAAGCGTCGGTTACTTTCATACACTACTTCAAATAACTTCAGACCAGGATTAAAATTTTTAAAATTTTACTTATAAAACTCATCAATAGAGTTTCAGAGAGCAAGCAGTCTTTCCTCTGACCTAACCAAACTACTGCAGCTGCCCCAGTATACCTGCACAGGTAAGAGTCCATACTTGGCATGTCCATAGTGGCGGTTCACCAGAAGCTAGTGCCATCAGAGCAGACTGCAGGTCCCAACAGTCCCCCTACATCTCACTTGCTCTTGGCACTCCAGGATGCCAACTCTGGGAAAAGGCTCGGCATCTGGTCCCCTGCTCCTTTATAAGGCCACAGGATCAGTGGGTCAGACCCAAAAAGCCCACGCAGAAAAACCAAGGAACGGCAGCATAAAAGCCTTAGCTCCTTCCCTTCCGGCCAGGGCAGCAAACTGGCTAACTTACAGTAGGCAACCTGCCTACAAACAAAGAACATGCTGCCTGCTGATTGGAGAGCTATAGGTCTGACTGTTAGTCTTGATCAGAAGATCCAGTCTCAGCTCAGGTATAATGTCTCCAGATATAATCTCCAAATATCCATTATCTCCTGCGCTCAAAGACTCAGATCAAACGGGCGTTAGTAACAAACAGCGTGTCCATCCGCTGGTGATCAGATTTTGTGCAGCTCTATCATGAAGCTGGGGAAGCTTGATAAAACTGTAGAAGGGGATGAAAGAGAGAGCGCACAAAGCTTGAGCATTACCTCAATAAATTGTGACTAATTTTATTTAGGAAATATACTCACAAAGGTGACGGTAAAACAGGCATAAGTAACCATAATCCACACAGGGTTTCGGGTAAATCCAAAGGGGGGGGGGAATAAAAAATCTAACGCGTTTCGAAGGGTGCTCCCTTCTTCATCAGAGCTGGGTTTGGCAGATAGAAACTTCAGTATAGCAGAGTTCCCATGGCAAGGAGATATTCAGCCACTGAGTGTCCGTATTACAGCAGTTCAGCCTGTTTAGTCTAAACAAACCCAGCTCTGATGAAGAAGGTCTGGAGTTTAGGTAAAGAAAAGCAGATTGGAGACCCATGTAAAGGACTAAGGTATCCCCTGGTAAAAAAAATAGGGGATAGGCAGGAGAGCCTTTATAGTGTAGTACAGTACAGTGGGGATGGAAAGTTTGGGCACCCCAGCTAAAAATGTGTATTAATGTGCATAAAGAAGCCAAGGAAAGATGGAAAAATCTCCAAAAGGCATCAAATTACAGATTAGACATTCTTATAATATGTCAACAAAAGTTAGATTTTATTTCCATCATTTACACTTTCAAAATAACAGAAAACAAAAAAATGGCGTCTGCAACAGTTTGGGCCCCCTGCAGAGTTAATATCTTGTACTGCCCCCTTTGGCAAGTATCACAGCTTGTAAACGCTTTTTGTAGCCAGCCAAGAGTCTTTCAGTTCTTGTTTGAGGTATCTTTGCCCATTCTTCCTTACAAAAGTCTTCCAGTTCTTTGAGATTTCTGGGCCGTCTGTCACGCACTGCTCTTTTAAGGTCTATCCATAGAATTTCAATGATGTTGAGGTCAGGAGATTGTGAAGGCCATGGCAAAACCTTCAGTTTACGCCTCTTGATGTAATCCCCCATGGATTTAGAGGTGTGTTTAGGATCATTATCCATTTGTAGAAGCCATCCTCTCTTTAACTTCAGCTTTTTCACAGATGGCATCAAGTTACCATCCAAAATTGGCTGACATTTTATTGAATCCATTTTTCCTTCTACTCGTGAGATGTTCCCTGTGCCACTGGCTGCAACACAACCCCAAAGCATGATTGATCCAACCCCATGCTTCACAGTTGGACAGAGGTTCTTGTCATTCAATTCTGTGCCCCTTCTTCTCCAAACGTACCTTTGCTCATTCCGGCAAAAAAGTTCAATTGTAACCTCATCGGTCCACAGAACTTGTTTCCAAAATGCATCAGGCTTGTCTATATGTTCATTTGCAAAGTTCAAACGATGATTTTTGTGGTGAGGACGTAGAAGAGGTTTTCTTCTGATGACTCTTCCATGAAGACAATATTTGTACAAGTATCTCTTTATAGTGGAATAGTGACCACAACTCCAGTGTCTGCCAGATCTTTCTGGAGGGATCGTGCAGTCAAACGTGGGTTTTGAATTGTTTTTCTCACAATCCTGCGAGCTGTTCTGTCTGATATTTTTCTTGGTCTTCCAGATCTTGCTTTAACTTCCACTGTTCCTGATGGCTGCCATTTCTTAATTACATTCCGAACAGAGGATATTGACATCTGAAAACACTTTGCTATCTTCTTATAGCCTTCTCCAGCTTTGTGAGCGTCAACTATTTTCAGTTTCAGTTTTCTAGACAACTGCTTAGAAGAACCCATGGTGCTGATTGTTGGGGCAAGGTCAGATGAGTCTGGGCATTTAAAACCTTTGAGATTGACATCACCTGGTCTGCCCAGACGATGATTGAGAACAATCCATGACACTGACAGGTCTCAGCTTGGCAAAGGGGACAGTGCATGCTATAAATTCTGCAGGGGGCCCAAACTTTTGCAGACGCCATTTTTTTGTTTTCTGTTATTTTTTTGAAAAGTGTAAATGATGGAAATAAAATCTAACTTTTGTTGACATATTATAAGAATGTCTAATCTGTAATTTGATGCCTTTTGGAGATTTTTCCATCTTTCCTTGGCTTCTTTATGCACATTAATACAAATTTTTAGCTGGGGGGCCCAAACTTTCCATCCACACTGTATGTATCTAAATGTAGTTATTTCCTCAGTTAAAAGAAATCAAGAAAAGAAAAAATGACTTACATATGGTGAGGCTGCAGTGACCCTGGAGGGTAGAACCACGCAACCTTCCCTGAATGCAGGTGGAGGAAACAACCTGTCTCCACGCAGGGTGAAATTGGTCTCTATTGATGCTGCAGGGGTCCCAATCCTGGATCCTCTATCGGTTCTCGGGTGGGTATTGTACTGGTATGTTGGGAGGAGGTAAAAAGCCCGTTGATGAAACCAATTTCAGAAATGTGAGTCATCAAGTTGGGGAAACATCAGCTAGCTTTAATTCACCAAAAGAAGCATTTCATGGCTATAACTCACCACTTCAGTTTATCGCGATACACAAATGTATGCCATTTCCCAGTTTACTCTTCAA